CTTCATAGGTTAACTTCTAAATTTCATCAAGTGTTCAATTTAATTCTTACATTCACAAATATTAAAAATATAAAAAGAATAAAAGTAAATGAACTTATAAACAAAACATTAAACGAGATTGTTTATGAACATAAATGAACTAGTCGATAAACGAACAAGTCGATAAATAATCTTGTTCGTGAACATAAATGAATTGAATATATCTTTATTCGTGTTCGTTCATTTATTAAATTGATAAAAAAATATTCATATTCATTTATTTAACTTAACAAATGAATATAAATAAACAGTTCAACAAACATTATATTCATTTATACTCCTATACTTGTTTTAATAAATAAACGGTAAATAAGACATATTATTAAAGTTGAAATATGTCAATTTGTATTTTCTAATAATTCAAAATTTAAAGCTTAATTCTTATATCGTGTTAAAAGTAGAGTTTTATATTATTTAAAAATTCTGTATTTTCTAATTTTATTTATTTATTTATTTAACAATTATAAATAAAATAAATTTTATTATCCAAAAAATGGATTTTATCAATTTTAATTTTCAAATTTCTATACTTCAAAGTTAGAAGTACAATCCTAATTATACGAAATATGCGCTAATAATTGAGAGATAAATCAGAAGAATGGAAGCTCTCTAACACTCTCATTGATTAAAAATCATGTTGAATAATATGATATTGAATTAAGGAACGGATGTGAGATTTTATATTAGGGGATGGACTTGAATTTATAAAATTTTAGAGTGACGAAAATATTTTCAATAGAAAATATAAAGAAAAAAATTTAAAATATACAATTTTAAATTTTTAGGGACGATCGTCACCATTCATCCCTCGATCTATTCTTAATTGGACCACGGCCGAGGTATTAAGACAAATAAATTAGAAGAATTTTAAGTTTTTTTAAGAATATTAAAAATGAATGAACAAAATTTCAAAATTAAATTAATATTTATTAAAAATCTAGAGATTAAATTTAAAATCAATTATTTTATTAACATATTACATCATTAATAGATGAATAATTAAAATATAACAAATTAATAATAAATAGTGTAAATATTATTTTTTAAAGTTTAATGACTAAAATAAAAATAAAGGCAAACATAAATTACTTCCTGCTATGGTATGCCATTATTTTTTACTTGTAAGTAAATAGTAAGTATATAAATTTCCTTTCTTTCTTCAAGCTTCTATCACAAAAGCCAAGAAAAGAAATAGGGTATGTTTTTATGTTTATTTGATGATCCAAACGGAAGCCTTTCATTCTTCCTTTTTTCACTCTTCTCTCCTCTAATCTCACTATCCCTACCTCTCTTTACTCTCCGCTCGTACATTTAGCCAAAAAAAAAAACCCCATAAAATCTTTGACCAGAAAAAATGGATTAAAAGTGAACATGCACTTAGAAATCTTTCAAGAAAAACTGAATTTGAATTAAGAAAAGTGGCAAAAGAGCCAAAAGGTAATCTTCGTATCAGGAAAAAGAGGAAACTTATTTTCCCAGATCCTTATTTTTGGTTGTTTACACTGGCTTTCTCTTTCACTACCCCAGATCCTTTTTCTTTCATAAACCCCTTCAAGCTGTTTCAATATTTTCTTTTATGGGTATCTTTGTTCTTTTCTGGATTTTAGTCGCATGCAGGATTAAGGTTTCTCTTCTTATTTCTTTTTGTTTGTTTTAAATTCAGGGTTTAGAGGGCGTATGCATTTGTCCAAGCAATCAATTATTTTGGTGATTTTAGAGTATTGGGTCTGCTTCAAAACGGAGGTTAAGGACTGACTTTGAAATATTAGATTTATTTAACCATTTATTTTCTTTGGAGGATTTTGTTGGAGGGGGTTTCTGATGGGGAGCACCGATGAGCCCAACATAAGGGACATTGATGCGTCGGTGGGTGGCTTGGTTTGGGTCCGACGCAGAAACGGTTCTTGGTGGCCGGGTCGGATTATGGGCCTTGATGAGCTCTCCGAGGGTTGTTTGGTTTCTCCAAGATCCGGCACCCCTGTTAAGCTTCTTGGTCGCAAAGATGCAAGCGTGTGAGCCCATTTTTAATCTCTTAATCACTTTTTAGATTTCATTTGGATAGGGTTTAATGGCTTACATTCCTATTGACGATTCATTGTAATTGTTTTCTTGTATTTACATGTATTTGTTTAGTAGTTTGATAGTTATTTCAATTTTGGATTCTTTTTATTCCTTGATCAATAATATAAATGAGAGGGGAAGAATTTGCTTGTATTACATATATAAATTATCTATGGTTCCGTTTGGGGAGAAGATTGCTAGCTTGTGGTTTTGGGCTAGAACTCGCACTTGTCTTGGTATCTATGGTAACATATGGTGGAAAATGGAGTATTTGGATCAAATTGAAATGCCTGCTTGTTTGCTTTGGTGCATTAGGCTTGTTGTTTGTGCTTGTAGACGACCATTTAATTCATGAGGTATACTATCTTGGGAATAAAATCTTGTGTGGCTCTTTTGGAACTAACCGAAACTTTGACTTCTGGTAAATTGAGAATATTTTTTCATTTAGCATTGTTGATTTTATGCTAGACTGATCTGCATTTTACTCTCTAAGAGCCCTTTATAAATGTTGTAGTGAATAGTCATTAACAAATTTCTAAATCAGTTAAGTCGTTGAGTGTTTGTTCTGTCACACAGTTGTAGAGGTTGTAACCGTCATTTGTCACCTTTTAGCTTTCGAATTATATATCGATTCATTAGAAAAATAACATAACTAACCGATGTTTGAATAAATGACTGCTTTTTTCTTTTTTAGATAATGACAAATTAGGTTCAAGGTTTTACCTTTATATACCATCATTATCTTGACTGAACTTCCATCAAATAAATTTTTTCTCTAGAATGTTTATCTCTGAAGACTGAAATATGTTGCTCCAATGATCGTCATCAAGTGGAAAGAGTTTACTGTTCTTGGAATATGTTCTCATTACTTAACTTTCTTGATTAAATCTTCATCGTTTTTGGCTTTAGGGACTGGTATAATCTTGAAAAGTCTAAGAGGGTGAAGGCCTTCCGTTGTGGAGAATATAATGAATGTATTGAGAAAGCAAAGGCTTCTGCAGCAAATTCTAACAAGAGAGCAGTTAAATATGCTCGAAGAGAAGATGCTATTCTTCATGCTCTTGAAATTGAGAGTGCACGTTTAGGCAAGGATCATCCAGATTATTTCTCTAGAAAAGATAATTCTGGTGGTGACAAGGGGAGTTTGGCCAGAGAATCACCCACCGTGTCACATTCTGGGAAAGAAAATGACATGTCTGATGAAATGAGTGGATCTGAGGATGCTTCAGATTCAGCTCCAGAATTATCTCAGTCTGGGATATCCTTTGAAGAGCCAAATAATATTAATGGTACTAAGGGGCACTCTAAGATGACAAAGAGAAGAAAAACCCCAAATGATTCCGAGGATGATGGATCGGAAAGAATCAAGCGCATGAGAGGACTTGAGGATCTAGGTATGGGTGTAGGATCAAAAAGAAAAGCCCAGGCTGCAGATGCACTTGAGATAGTTCAGCAATATAGTTCTTTATTTTATGAATCAAATGCTGGAAGTTTCCTTTTTAATGGAGATTCCATAAATGGTAGCAGAAATCATTCATCATCAGTGAAAAGAAAGAGATCTCAGGTGGCAAATGTTCATGAATTCCTCAAAAGAAAAAACCGTCGTAGACCATTAACCAAGGTTTTGGAGAGTACAGCTATTGTGTCAGTTCCAGTTGTTTGTGATGAACTTACAAGCTCAAGTGGTTCACCCCGTTGGGGACTTTCTGACAGCAAGATTTCAGGAATTGATTCTAATGAATCACGCAAAAGTGGAACTGCAGTAATTGACAACGGCCACAACAACGATACTAACAACTCGGATAGTACTGGAGTTTTATGCGAGAATGGTGTCTCCTTAAATGCTTCTGAACATGTTGCTGACGCTGATGCATCTCTAACTAATAATAAGACAAAAGAAAATGAAATTTCCAGCTTACCAGAGTTAACTGAAAATGAATCTTCTAACAGGCTATTTGATGTGCCGTTTGTTGGAGAAGATAAGCCATCTGCAGGTATTCTGGATTAAACATTTATGAACTGTAGCATTTCTTGTTACAACTGCATCATTCTTGTGCACACAAACATACTCTTCTGTTTTTGTTTTGTTGCAGCTGATGGGTAGATTGTTGTTTGTTGTCTTGTTATTGTTCACCATTTTCATCATGTGTCTAAATAATGTTGGTTTTTATGTCTCCCTTAAGATATTCTTCCTGTATTTACTGTGGCTAGTTACGAGTTATCTTTGTCTTAATAAATGATAAGATATATATTATATATATTTATGTGTTGGGAACTACATAACTCATGTCTTGCGTTTACATGATTGTGTCTAATAATATTTATAAATACATGGACACATACATGTACTTATTTCTGGTTATGTGGTGATTGGGGCCAACTGTTTGCCAACAGGTCTAGTCAGAGTTGTTCATCAACTAAATTAGCTTAACTACATTTTGTCCGACTCTTTAGAGCATCTAACTAGCTATAGCTAATGACCTGCAGGCAATATTGTGAGTTTGTATATGATAGGATTGAAAGTTAAACACATTGATGTTTATGCTCCCACTCTATCAAAGGGTTGAACTCAAAACTGCATTGGCAATAAGGCCATAATTTGGACCTATAACTTGAATCTCAATATACCGGGAGATTAAGTTGAGTTTGTGATAACTAGATGGATGAATGTTCTTCCATAACTTGGTTCCTTTACCTTTACTCTCTTGTCTTCTTGCAGCCGTAGAATTTTAATTTTTTTACTATTGTTACTGATAAATCACTTCATTCTGGCAGATTTTTCTCCAATAATTGTATCTTGTTCATCTGAGACTCCTGAAGTGGTGATTTGGGAAGGCAAGCTGAAATTGATGGACATACTGAGCCTGGTTGTACCAAATCAGTAGATGTTCATGTAACTAGTATTAGCCAGAGAATAGAGAAAGGAACTGCTAAGTGGCAGTTAAAAGGAAAGAGGAAATCAAGACAAATAAGTAAAAACAAGAAACGTGACTCAAGAAAATATCTTGATGCAGATGATGAACCAAATGCTTATTTAGCAGGTATAGAGTACTTGGATGGATTTTTTAAGAGTTCTGATCAGAAAGTTTGCTGTGATGGTGTTGGTGGGTCGGTTGCTCCTTACTATTGCACCTTGCAACCCAAGTTCAAGTCAGGTGTTGAAGAGCAGCTTGATGGTTTGCAGGAGAAGCCTGTGTCTCAGGAGCCTCTTGTGGGGGGACCAACAGCAGAAATGAAAACACTAGCCGATGATTCTCTGAACCCTCAAAGGTCACTTCCATACCGTCGGTCCCATTATACGGTTTACTCCAGATATCAGATGACAGATTTTCCTGGAAAAACTTATTCTGCTGATTTGTCATTATACAATGTTAAGATTGAGGTGAAAGCTAACTATCGGCCACAGCATGTTCCATTAGTTTCCCTCGTGAGTAAGCTGGATGGAAAAGCCATAATTGGTCACCCTCTTACAGTTGTTGAGGTTTCGAGTGATGATTACCATGGCAATCTGACTTGTGAAGCATCTATGAAGGGCACAAAAAAGTCTGAAGTTGGTCATTTAACGAAGCGAAATTCCGAAGGTGGACCAGTCCCTAGGAAGCATATGAAATTGCAATCACATTTCCTATCCCGTAAATCAGCAAAATCAAAGAAATCTAGGAAATCTGGACTACTGTCTAAGAAGACTCGGAAATTGTCTTCATTGACTGGTCAGAAGGTAGGTGCAGGTGACCGGAAAATGGTAGCAGAGAAGCCTAATGGTCTGGTAATAGCTTGTGTTCCTCTAAAGTTAGTATTCAGTAGGATAAATGAAGCAGTAAACGGCTCTGTGCGGCCCAAATACCGACCTTTAACATCCGGCAATCCATGAGTAGGTGATCCCTTCTAAAGTGAATGGGATTTTATTTTCAGTTGAAATTGCTTTCATTCTCCACAGTTAAAATGAATCCCGTTGTACAATTGAAAACCGTATTGGATTGTTGCAGACAAAGAAAGCTGGTACGAGTATGAATGAAGAGGATTATAAAGACGAAGGCCCTGTATATAGGAAACATGTAACATGAGGCTGGAGTTGTAAAGGAAGTAATTTCCATGACCTGATATTGTTTTTTCTTTCCCCTTCATAATTTTCAGGTTGATTGAGTTTAAGGAGGCGACTAACATAAATTTTGTTTGAATCAATAGTACATTTTTCTTTCTTTTTTTTATTGGATTTGAGACTTTGATATGGTAATTTCCGAAGGCCCTTTTCTTTATTTTTAATGCGAATAAATAATAGAACTTGACATTTTGTATTTAAAATTTTAATATATCTGCTAAATTTTATTTTGCATTTGACTTCACTTGCAGGCTTCTTTATCATCACCCTTTTTGAGGTTACTTTTCATTTTTCTTTTCAAAGTTCGCTTATTTTTAAAATATATTATCACTCATAGTATATTAGTTGATTACTCACGCTTGTCACAAGATTATTTGAATAATAGTTTCTTAATTTTTTTATTTAATATGCGATTGAGTTGCCATTACAAATTATTAGGAGGATGAAATAGTTTCTTAAGTGATAACAAATAATATTATGATAAAATTTTCCCCATTTTATATTTTTATATATTTGTAAATAAAAAACTTTAAAATTATTATTTAAGAAATTAAATGTGAGACTAATAAGTTTATATATAAACCATTTGTCATTTTATTTATGATCTAAATGAAGGAGTAATATTTTAAAATATTTCTATAAAATAATTTGATTATTTTTAAGAACTATTTTAAATTATAATACTGCGGACAAAATATTTTTGTAATTGAGATGGAAACAAAAAATTTAGTAATCAAAATAAAAAAGAAAAAGAGAAATGCTTTGAATGTTGAATTTGACAGGCTGCTCCTGAAAGGAGCCGTAGAAACCCTACTCTGTAATCAATATATATTATTATTTGTGAACTTGCTAGTGTCTGTTTGCCGCGTTCTTTCCAATATTATTAAACCCTAAGAAACAACAGGTTGTCTTCTTATTTTAGCTCAATTTAATAGTTCGTTTCTGATTTCGCTTCAATGTTCGGAGGATTTTAATCTTGGTGAGTGGATCTGGTGCAGTGACGTTCAGGGAAAGAGAAAATGGCGGCAGTTCCCGGGCAGTTGATTTGGGAGGTAGTCAAGAAGGGCAATTGTTTTCTGGTGAAGCAATTTGGAAGAGGAACTGCTGGCCTTCAGTTCAGCAAAGAGCCGAACAATCTGTACAACCTCAACTCCTACAAACATTCTGGTATTCTTTTGATTCAAAAGTTTCTATCTTTTTTTCCCTTTTCCCATTATTGTTTTTGATTTGAGGATTTTGATCTTAGGTTTATTGGAAACGTGATATCGTAGTTAACTTCCCTTGCTTTTCTTTTCCATTTCATTTAACGCGAGATAGAAACGATGTTATCTGCATATGTTGCTAGTTTTATAGATAAATGCTTAAGATATAATTGGAAATGGTAATTGATGTGGAACTCAATCAAATGTAGAATGGTCTGAATCTGAAAAGATGACTTTATGACTTTTACGAGCTATGATGTCCATTTGTCTAATATATTTTCTTTAATCCCTCCCATTCGTCAGACACTGAACACTTAACATGTTCACTTTAGGGTTGGCAAACAAGAAAACATTCACCATTCAAAGCGGGGGCAAAGACCAGTCTGTGCTGCTAGCAACCACCAAGACTAAGAAGCAGAACAACCTTCCAGCTTGCTTCACAAATCTGTCATGAAAAAGATCTCCAGGATGGTCAAAGCAGTAAAAAACCAGGTAAAGAAACATCTCTTCGCTCTTTTACTAGGTTTGCTGTTGATGATTGACTAATTGTTGGGCTTGTCTTGCATGAAAAAGAAACTGTTTGTCTATGATCACATTTAAAGCCAGTAAGCCACATTTTTATTTCTATCTAATATTTGGTCCTAAAACTACGCTGTTAATTTGTTGGATTGCTAGTGATCTGTCAAAAGGCGGCGCTGTTTGCTTGCATTCAAATATAAATTTTCCTGGATATCTTGCAGTGATGAAGCAATAACATGTATGAAGGATCTATTTGTTGGGTTCTTCTGTGAAATGTACTTGTTACGCTTGGCTTCTGAGCTTTGAAAGTTGTTATAATGTGTTTCAATGCTTATTGCTGTGGTTATTGGCATAGGTTTTCATTAATAGTCTGATACTTTTATGTATCTCTCAGAGTGATATCCAGGTATCGGAGCAATTTAGTTTAAGATGCTTTTCTGGTCGGTTTTATAAGTCCAGTCACTTCTCACCATAATTTTCTATTTTATGAATATTTTTTTCTCATGATGGATGTTTCAAACATTACAGGTGACAGACAACTACTACAGGCCGGATTTAACGAAAGCAGCTCTTGGAAGGTTGAGTGCTCTGCACAGGAGTCTGAAGGTGGCCAAGTCTGGTGTCAAGAAGAGGAACAGGCAAGCATTGAAGGTTCGTGGCAGAAAGTGAGCTAGACCTTTCATGTTGTATGTGCTCTGCTATTTTCTTTACACCATACAATTTTTTACCCTTTTTTTGAAATTGTCTTTTATTTTTGTTAGATAGAATTGTCTTATCTTCATTGATGGTTTTTAGAATTTTAAATTTACATTATTTTCAAACAGAATGGATAGGCATGGTTCTTTGTTTCGTAATTTGGCTATTTTACCTCTAATTTTCACCGACATTGAGAAAAATATATAATTTGGCTCTGCCGTTGCAATTGTATAGCCAACAATTATCATCCTTTCCAAAAGAAAATCCTGAATCTTTTGTTTGTATATAACGAAGGGGTGAATCATAATGTGTGTAGATAATATGGAATTTCAAATGTTCCAAGGCTTTTCTTTCTTGGAATTATTCAGATTACTCAACAGCTGGCATTGCCAATGACTGACCACTATACCAGAAAGCTGATCGCTTATCCATAATCAGAACATCCGTTATTGGTTCTCCGTTTGCAGTTCTAGAACACACAATTTTAGGCAAAAAAGAAGCATACCAAAAAATTGTTGACAAAAAGTATTTACCGATGATGCGAAAATGTCTTAATTCTCAATTCAGCCCTTTAAGAATACTTGCTTTCTCGGTCTCACCATGATTGAAAATTTTCAGGTAATTGAAAGTTTTCTGTACGGATAAATTTAAACGATCTAGAGGTGTTGAAGGACGTGGATAGCATAATCAAGGTTTCCGTCCGATTCCATAATCAGAGGTAGAGATCAGAATATGAGTATGTCAAAATTAAATCTTGATTCGTTTTTTTTAGAAGTTTTTCTAATAATATAATTACAATTTGGGTTGGTATTGGAATTTTGTTTTTATTAGAATTTTTCATTATAAATGTCATGTGTGTTTTCATTGGTCCCTTCTTTTAATATCTAACAAGTCTAGGGTCCAAAATATAAAAAATAATGCTTAAGAGTCAAAGTGAAACAAAAAATATTTAAGATATAAAACCAAATATATATATATATATATATATATATATATATATCAAAAATAAAGAAAGCGGTAAATATGGGAATTTTTTTAGAATAATGAATTTGCTGGATATCAGATAAAGAACACACGAAAAAGATTTTTTTTTTCCTTTTGGGGGGAGAGCGTCTTATTTAAGAAAAAAAGAAGAAGGTTTGTTGAATAGTCCGCACCCTTTACGCGACTTTTCCACTTTCGTCCAGTTTACTTTCCCTAATAACCAAAAGAGATAAAGCAAAAGAAAATATTGATCCCTAAAGTAAAATCTTTCTCAGCAGACAAACAAAGAATCTAGCCATGGGTAACACCGAGAAGCTCTTGAACCAGATCATGGAACTCAAATTCACGTCCAAATCGCTGCAACGCCAGGCGAGGAAGTGCGAGAAGGAAGAGAAATCTGAGAAATTGAAGGTAAAGAAGGCCATGGAAAAAGGTAACATGGATGGAGCTCGTATATACGCCGAGAACGCCATTCGCAAACGCACTGAGCAGATGAACTACCTGCGGCTCGCGTCGCGGCTCGATGCCGTTGTTGCCAGGCTCGATACCCAGGCTAAGATGAGCACCGTTAATAAGTCCATGGCTAATATCGTTAAGTCTCTTGAATCTTCCTTGAGCACAGGTAATTTCTCCGTCAAATGTTTTACTTTTAAAATTTTGATCGCCTTATGCTGATCTCTTTTATGAGAAATTAGCAGATATTTTATGATACAATTGGAGAACGAAAAATATCATAATCCGGCGTTTCTTTTGGGTTTATATTGGCCCTAAGTAAAAAAAAATATTGTGTTTATATTAACCTAAAATAAATTCATTCAAGTTATGTTTTTTTTACTAAATTAAATTTACTGCATAATTCCGTAATTTGGATGTCAGTGTGATGAAATTCGATTTTTTATTCGTTGTAGGCAATTTGCAGAAGATGTCTGAGACAATGGATCAATTCGAGAAGCAATTTGTGAATATGGAAGTCCAGGCAGAATTTATGGAGAGTGCTATGGCTGGTTCTACTTCATTGTCCACACCGGAAGGTGAGGTCAACAGCTTAATGCAACAGGTTGCTGATGATTATGGGTTGGAGGTATCTGTTGGGTTGCCACAACCAGGTGCTCATGCTGTGTCAACCAAGACAGAGGAGAAAGTTGATGAGGATGATTTGTCGAGGCAACTTGCTGAGCTTAAGGCTAGAGGTTAGTGAAATGATGGGCTTGATTTGAATGATCTTGTGATGTATAATCACTATGGTGTTTGAAACCATAAGTGCTCTGCTTAAAACATCTTATACCATATGTAAATTTGACCGAGCTGGGTTTCCCTTTATAATTTTAAATGCTGCATTTATTTCATTGAAATTAGCCTTTCGTCTGAATTTTAGCTGTAAAAAATATCCTCTGAATCCCTGAAATAATTTGGAATGCTTGAATTCATTGCTAGAGGTTTACCTGTTTGGTGTTGGTCCTTTTGGTCATGGTGTTTGATAGTTTGAGCTTAATCTTGTAGTTGAAGGCATTTATGCTTGTGAGAGTTGAATAATTGATAAGCAGTTCAGTCTTTCCTTGCACATCAAGTCAATGGATTGGGTTAATGCTGATAATTGTAAGCATGCGTTTTTTGGATTACCACTGTTTTCTGCTTATTGTAGAGATGTGGCCTTTAGGGTTAATGCTGATGTTTGTG